CAGTAAGTACTCATTTCTTCTTCAGGTCTTTGTTTAAAAGTCATCTTTTTAGGTGGGTGCAGTGGCTCACGCCTGTAATCCCAGCACTTTGGGAGGTGGGTGGAACACCTGAGGTCAGGAGTTTGAGACCAGCCTGGCCAACATGGTGAAACTCAATCTCTACTAAAAATACAAAAACTTAGCTGGCTGTGGTGGCAGGTGCCTGTAATCCCAGCTACTTGGGAGGCTGAGGCAGGATAATTGCTTGAACCCAGGAGGCGGAGGTTGCAATGAGCCAAGATCGCTCCATTGCACTCCAGCCTGGGCAACAAGAGCAAAACTCCATTAAAAAAAGGAAAAAAAAAAAGAATTCGAAACATGTGGGATTCAAACACAAGTTTATGTGACTTTAGCCAACAATCTTAATGACTATACTACATAACCTCCCATGTACCTCTACTCTGTATACCTCTACCTTCCACGTACCTCCCATGTGCCCTTACATGTACTTAAGATTTAACCATTTAATATCAGAAGAGGAGGTAAAGAGGGAAAGTGAGTCCCTCTTTACCTCCTCTTCTGATACTAAATCGGTAAACCTTATTGAAGAAAAATAGACTAAGCCCTGCCAGCCAAAGTTTTCTAGTAGGTCTTGGATAGTATTTTGATCAACACACCCAGTTTTGGGAGGACGGTATACATACTATTGGTTAGCAGGTGGTTCTGCTGCAGTGGATTGAGGGTTGGAGCACCTCCAACGCCTGGCTGGCCAGCTAGGGCTGCATGAGCAATTCCATGTTGGGGTCCAGGTGCCGCAAATGGAGACTGCAGCTTATCCTTATCCCAGGAGGATTCACTTCCACCTGAAAAAGATTCATATAAACAGATTTCAATTTGACAACTTTCCATAAGAAGGCTTTTTAAAATTCCCTTTTAGGGCTGCAATCATGAATACCACCTCTTAGAATATTGTTATTGAACACAGTTAACTCATTTTTATGACAGTTTCAAAAACTTTCAATAGTCTAGAGATGTAAGCTGCCTTTGGGAAGGCTAAATCATTCTCAATAATAGTATAGGCACTCTTGACTTGTTGGTATTCTCAACAAATCTGGAATCATAATGAATAGCTTTTAGAAGCACTTACATGTTAGGGAACATTAATTGACCACCACTGCCTTGTATTCTAAACCTTTAACATACATATACTATATTTTAAAGGACTGTACTGATCACTGAAAAAGAACACACTCATTTGTAAGAGCATGATAACATGCAAAAATACATAGTAAGAAAAGAATGATCTTTTCTTCTCGGGTCACTCAGAGAAGCAAATCTATTCATACACACTAGAGTTCTGTATAAAATAAGCTGGACAAAAATAGGAAACAATTGCTTTGAATTTGAAATTATACTTACCTTGATCCTTCAAGATAGAACATGAGGTGAAGTGTGTATAAATGTAGATAAATCATGATCTACATTGACATAGCTATTTCATCTGGTATCTAACATACTATGGGTGATAGAACCGTTGCTTAAAACCATATGGAAAACAAATACAGAATAATTTCCAGGACATTCTTTCAGGATAATATTTTAAACAGGGAAGTAAAGAGTGGGATTCGAATCACTGCAGAAGCAGATAGTCTGGCTTTAGAAAACAAAATGGTTGTGCAGGCAGCTGCATCTATTTGCTTGATGTGCTTCATTCATTCAGGGGTCGGTGGTTCCTCCTCCATTCCCATGCAGGGACTGCAACATTAGCACTCTACCTGGCTGACACCATCCCACTTACTGCCTAAAACTCTGACCCTGTTTGTGTGGGGTTTGGTCTTGGGACTCTTGGGAGCTCTGTCAAATATGTACGTTTAATGGTTTTTTTTAAAGGTAGAAAAATCAACATACTCATATCCACAACATTTAATATTGTGATTATTTTCACATCTTTGACTTCCCTCCCACACTTTGTTCATATGGATACCCATTTTTACATTATAAGCAGTCTGTCATGTTGCTTCAGGTATCATATCTACAAAGTGCAGTGACTATTAAACATTAGACTTCGTTTCCAATTGTCACTACTATAGTCTACATTATAACAAAAACATTCATTTAAATTATTTCCTTAGAATCAGTTAATTCCCTGAGTGGAATCTGAGTCAAAGGGGACAAAAATTTTTATACTTTTATTTCAAAAACCACATTTGCAAAAACAGTTTTGAGAGTTGTAAACTTTTCAGGGAAATGTCTTCAGGCCCAATTGGTATTCCTCCTCAAGATTTAAAATTTATTCAAGCAAATTGCCTGCTAGAATCTCTGAAAGGATTGTTTAACCTTCCTCTCCAGTCATCCAGTCTTACCTCAGTTCTGAAGAGGAAGAACCTTATTCTAGTCCTCCTCTTCAGTACTCTTTCAGGTTCTTTTGTGGCCAAAGTTAATCTCTAATCCAAAAGTGAGAATCTTGACTAGCCTCCAACTAGATGAGCTGAGATAAGGAAACACCAGATTCTAGAGCAGTATATGTAAAGACTGAAGGGTATCTGGCCCTGCTGATGTGGACGCAGATTTTCCAATCAAATGTGGGAAGAAATAAGCAGTTACTTGTTGGGGTCCTGCTATAAGCCATTCAGACAAGATGCATGAAACCTTCGTAGGTAGGAAATTTGGTTGAATTTAATAGACTGGTTTAATGGACCAAAAATCATTCCCTTGATCATGTTGAGGTCTGCTATGTTCATTGAAAACATGCAATACTTCTATGATTACCACTTGTTCTCTCTTTTCATCCAGATGTTGGCTGTTGTACAGCATGTGCTTAAGAGCAGGGAGGTAATTTATGGTTTGGTGCATTGACATATTTTAGTGTTGACAAATTTGAAATTTCAATTAAAATCAATAAGACATTGTTACGCTGTAATGAAGAGAGATGGTGGGGCAAGGGAGTATTTTAATAAGCTATGAAAGTAACCACTGCAACACTGAGAATTCTTTATAGAAACATTAGGCCAATAAACATGATTAATATCAGAAAATGCAAAAATTTGAAAGATCAATTACTGAGCAAAAACGGAAGCACTACATCATTTTAGCACTATGTTCAAGATATGAATTAGCTTACCATTGCAGAACTGTAATTTATAAAATGAGTAAAATATTGACAAAGGAAGATACATTTAGAAGACATTAAATTATACCATATGATAATAATATAGTACTGCAGTATCACAGCAGCAACAGCAACACAGCAACATTGGAGCTGAGATTATATTAATATTTATTTTATAAATTTAAAACTATTTAGTCTACATTTAATATTAAATGGCACATTAGGTAGTATTCTCATGGTTTGTGTATCACATTTTCCAAATAAGCTTGAATAGAAATGTTTTAAAAATCTTATCAAAGGATTTCAATGTGGTTTTATGTATGCTTTGATGAGAACTTTGGATACACTTTTTCCAACAGCTCACACCTTTGCTAACTACTGTGTTAATGATAGAAAAGGTAGTTTCCCTCTCTTCCCACCTCCACCAAATGTGGATATAAGTATTATCCTGCAATGTAACGGCAACTGTATATGAATCAAATGGCTGAGGAGTGTGGAACATTCTAGATATTTGGATTAGGAGGTATTAACTCTCTGACTACATTTTTTGTCTTTTTACCTAAATCTCTTATCATTTTTAAGTGTAAACATTAATTATGACTTAATCTGGAACGTTCAGTGGCCCCAATATTTGCATTTTTATGCCTCTTTGTCAAGATGCAGTAATACCCATTGCCCTTAAAACTAACAAAGTATTTTGACCAATCTAAGCTACAGTCAGCCTTGTATTAACCACTATTTTGAAGGCTTGGATATTCACCTTCCTTGTCCTATCTATCTGTCTGTCTGTCTACCTCCAAATGCAGTAGTTAGCTAAGGCTGCCATAACAAATACCACAGACAGAATGGCTTAAACCACAAGAATTTAGTTTCTCACGGTTCTGGAGGTCAGAAGTCCAAGATCATGGTTTTGGCGGGTTTAGTAGTTTCTCCTGAGACCTTCCTCTATGGTTTGTAGATGACTGTGTTTTCCCTGTGTCCTCACATGCTCTTTCCTCTGTGCAAGTTCATCCTTGGTAACTCTTTTATGCCCACGTTTCCTCTTCTTATAAGAACTCCAAGCAAACTGGATTAGAATCCATTCTAGGCCGGATTTATTTATTTATTTATTTAAATTGTTATTATTTTTTAATTTTTGTGAGTACAGAGTACGTGTATATATTTATGGAGTACCTGATACGTTTTGCCACAGGCATGCAATGTGAAACAAGTACATCATGGAGAATGAGGTATTCATCCCCTGAAGCATTTATCCTTTGAGTTACAAGCAATACGGTTAGATTCTTTGTTTTAAAATATACTTAATCACCTTCTTAAAGGCCTTAGCTATAAATACAGTCACATTTCAAAGTAACTGGTGGTTAGGGCTTCAATATCTGAATTTTAGGGGTACGTAATTCAGCCCATAACACTGAAGTATGCACATTTGTTGGAACCAGACCATACTAGCTTTGTGAGGGAATTCCTCCAGTAAAGAGGAGATAAACTGGACAGCATTTTTCACAAGGCATGACTAAGAGGCTGGCAGGGTAGGCAGTGGGTTTGGGAAAATAAAATAACCTCTTTAAGTCTTCATGAAATTTTGTATTAAGTATAAACGTAACCCAACACAGTCCTAAGCATGTAAAGATAATGTAGAAAATGCAGCAAATCCTCATTAACTGAATAATTTATTTGAGCTTTTCCATATCAACTACTTATCACTGTTTTACCACAATATTTAGTAAAACTAAATTGATGACAATAAACAGTGTAACACAATCAACAGTATTACAAGCAACTATTGCTACATTAGTACTAATTTAATCCTAACCTTACCAATAGGAAAGCTAGAGAGAACTACATTTTTATAAGCCCTTACTTCATAGAAATATATATTCTTAGTTAGAATCAGTGTAAGAACAATAAAGTGATTCACTGTGGGGAAATATTAATTTAACAAGGTGTCTGACAAACTTCTATTGCTTTAATCAGAAACTCTTTAGTTTGCAATTTAGACCTTTTTAAAAAAATCCCATTTTAAAATGTTAGGGTTCCCAGAAGGTTATTTGTTTTGGTGGCATTTTCTTTGTAGGATAAGTGGGTAGAGGACAGAGACCTATGAATCACAGAGACCCTACAACAGAAACATGGAATTTAACACATAAAAAGGACCTTTTTATCCATTTAGTTACAAATAATAACTTGAAAAAGCATTGGCCGGGCGCGGTGGCTCACGCCTGTAATCCCAGCACTTTGGGAGGCCGAGGCGGGTGGATCACGAGATCAGGAGATCGAGATCATCTTGGTTAACATGGTGAAACCCCATCTCTACTAAAAATACAAAAAATTAGCCGGATGTGGTGGCGGGCACCGTAGTCCCAGCTACTCGGGAGGCTGAGGCAGGAGAATGGCGTGAACCTGGGAGGCGGAGCTTGCAGTGAGCTGAGATCACACCACTGCACTCCAGCCTGGGCGACAGAGCGAGACTCCATCTCAAAAAAAAAAAAAAAAAAAAAAAGGTGCAAGATCATATCATGGGTGGGACCCAAAGCAGTATTTTAATGTTTTAATTTGCTAAAATTTTGAATTAGCACTTCCGCATTTCCCATTCTAATAACACAATGCTTATATGGTCAGGTTGTGAAAAGCAATAACAAAGATCATTATGATGTGTTCCAAACAAATTAGCATAAGCCTACAAGCCAAAACACCGAAACACCAACATGTTTCAAATGGATATAAAGGAAACCCAGCAGTAAGGCTCTAAATAAA